TCTGTTTTCTGAAAATCAAAAATCAAATCTAGTGATCACGTTACGATTGGCTACAAAACGATATAAATGGCACTTGCACTTGTGTAGCATCGATGTATCAAGGTTGTGTATATGTTGCTAAGTCCATATTGAGGAGTACATGTGTAAATAAAGACAAATAAAAAAACAATTTCCACACTAAAAGAGATTACATTATAGGTTAACTCATGAGAGTAGATGACTAAAAAGGTACAATTAACAATCAAACCAACATATGTTTTAGAGGTGAAAATGAAATCAGCGTAACCAGCATTCATTCGGTATTGTTAATCCAAAAAATCGTCTAAATTGACATTATAACACAGGTTTTATTGTGGGATCATCTCTCAAACTTTGGCTTGAAAACATTGGATGTAAAAGTCATATATTATTCATACAAATCCAAATAAAAAAACGCGAAATCTACATTCCTTTCAAACTGCCTTAAATTGTCCTTTAGTCACGCACGACACTACTACCAAAATCGATAAGCGAGAGATTAAAACTTAATAAAAATCATAGTAATAATTTGAGAAGTATTTTGCAAAACCTCTAATTAACATATGTATGCACGATTTAACTTCCAAAAATAGGGTTACGTCTGACTGTCAGATGTGACAAATAACTACCGAATCCTTAGCCACCTTCAACTAAACTAATGCACCGGCATCCAAAGAAGCTGCTTTTGTAGGTGGTAGTGATTTCATGACACAGATCGCCCATAGCAATTTGCGGTTCACAGTGCATTTATGGTGAGAAGCGGGTATGTAAGAAAATCCTTGAATAAATCAGATGTTTTCACCATGTGAGCATTATTAGAGATAAAGGGGGGGGGGCGTTGTTCCACCCCATTTATTTTCTATATTATCAACTTGAAAGGGACGTTTTCCAGAACTATGCATTTTCATCCTGTCAAATGAGGTTTTTATATATTAATGATTTTAATAGAGAGTCATTAATTTGAGTCATCAGGGGGAAAGATGAATTGAGCGGTTTGAAATCACACCTCATATTTATAATTCAGTTTTGCGAGATAAATTAATATTAACATGTATGGTATTAGCGAGGGAGTATTAAATCAACCATATTTTTAATCCAAGTCTGTATGAAGCATTAATAGTAAAGAGAATTGTCTAGAGAGTCTTTGAACTTCCGAGTATTTTATTAACTATTGCATCTTAAACTTTGATAGCTTATGAAATGTTTAATTTTTCAATCATTCTTCTATAATGTCAAATTATCCCCAAAGACCTACGATCAAATTGTCACGTACAAATACATTATCTTCAGTATATTATGTTTCTGATAGTTTTCTTTTGAATGTGATGGATTGATGGATTTGTTTCACACACGATCTGATCTTTGTACCTCTAATATGGTTATTTGGGATGATATGTATTATAACGTACTAGTATTTACATTTCACATGTACATGTACGAGATGATTTCATGGGGAGGGGGGGGCGAACACTTCATGTTTAGTTTACTCATTGACATGTTCATATACTGTATAAAGTAAAATTTGTCTGGATTTGACTCGAATTTGGATTGTGTTATTTCTACATATTTTAGGAAAAAAAATCCCTTCTGAAAATTCTTCAATCCCATAAACCGTCATATCAGTGAACTATTTAATATATTTGCTTGTTATACCCATTTGCCCAATGACAATATGCCACCACAGGTATCAAACTACTCTGTGAAATAGAGACATCAGATGGTAACCTTTTTATTACATTACCAGCTCAGAGTCTCAAAACGACAATGAAATCGTGATTTTTACGGAGCTATGTTTATGAGTTCAAATTTATGCAAATCTATGTTAAAGCGATGAAAA